TAAAATTTTAAAATTTTGAAAATGACACAAATGACCCAAACTCCGGTGTCCAATCACAGGAGTTCCAATGACTACTTTTTCTTATGTATTGACTACTTTTTTTTAGCTATTAATTAGATTTATTTTTAGAATTCAAATTACTACTTTTATTTATCTATTGACTACTCTATTATCATGAGTGACTATTTTTGTTTTTAAAAATTTAGTGATTATTCTTATTCAGCTATTGACTACTCTAGCATCGCTATCTGGTGACTACTTTTGTTTAATTATTTACTACTGTTGTTTAGTTAACAGCTATACAAAAATAGTTATTGAAACTTTGAAAACAAAAGTAGTCAATAGTAAAATTAGAGTAATCAATAGCTATACAAAAATAGTCTCTGAGGATAAAAACAATATTGTCATTTCACAATATTTTAAAATTTCAAAATATTATGATGAGTCTAATTTAAGATTTTGAAATTCACTCACCCCTAATTTGCCTTCTAGTTTTTTGTTTCAAAATATCCCGTGATCCTGATCACTTTTCTCTCCGCTTGTCAGAGTAACCTGTTTTTTTTTTTCTGGTTGGTGATGTGTAAATTTATAAACAATCGTTTAAAACTAATATTCTTTTTGTCATTATATATACATATACATGTATATAATATTTTTTATCATTTGAAGGGGGAAAAAAAACTTTTACTTGCCTTGAGTAACTGGCGGTACTTAATTGAGCGAAAGATTTATGCAATTGAATCTCAATGTGATTTTAATACAACTTTCCTTTTCTTTTCTTTAGAGAGTTAAGACTGAATCTAATTTCTTTTTATGATGTATAAATCAATAAACAATCGTTTAAAATTAATAATCTTGTGTGTGTGTTTATATATATATATGTATATGTATATGTATATGTATATGTATTGGTTTTATCATTTAAAGAAAAATAATTTTTCCTTACATCTTTGGCTAAGAGAAAAGTTACTTGCAATGTGTAACCGGCAACACTTCGGCGAAGGATTCATGCAACTAAACTCCCTCTTTTGATGGTATATAGAAAGGAAATTAAATGTTAGTATTGATGATTTTAAATTCTTAATTAAGAAGTTTTACAAACTTAGGTTGGCGTGAATAATAGACTCTCAATCCTCAAACAAGTGGATAGAAGTTTGGTTTAATAATTTTCAATCTTCATATATGGGGCAAGTTTAGCAAAAGAAAAAAAAAAGAAAAAAATCTGCCTTATCTTTTGTACCCCATGAGATTTGTCTCTGGCGTTGGCAAATGGCAAATGACTCTTCAACATCACTAAAAAGATAGTTACAAGTTTTAAATTTTTATTAAAATGTTTATCACAATGAGATATTAATGAGGATGTTAAAACTAGTAATCGAAATTAATTAAAACCACTAAATGCAATCTACGGTCTTGTTATGTTACAGCCCATCCTCTAGGTTATCAACAAGGGCATGTAGTGTCCATTATAATCAATAAAATGCTGGTTGTTTTTATTTATAATATTATGGCTAAAATATACAAAATTCCCATGAGTTTCGGCTCAATTGAGCATAATCTCCCTAACATCTAAAAGTTTAAATTAAAAACCCTAATATTTCATGTTCTGATTAACCCCTGCCATTAATATTTTAGCCTTATATTATTTATGATAATATCAAGTTTGGGTTAAGCATTGTTAGACTTAAAGGTAACTCTCTCAATATGATTTTTTTTCCCATACACAAAAAGTTAAATTCCTCGACCTTAAAAGAAATTGGGTCTCTTCTATCATATCTAAACATTTACTATATTACAAGAATATTTCCACCCTTTATCCATAATTGTAATATCACATGACATTTTAGTTGATATTATATATATATATATAATAAAGTACAACTTATAGATAGCTGCAATATTTGTAAAACACTATGAGTAATATGACAATTCAATGACAGCCAAAGCTGTTGAGGCAACACGAGCAGCAATAGAAAAACTAGGAAACCCAGAAACTTTGTATAATGTTTCAAATTCTTTCTCCGTTCTTTCCTTCCCACCAAACAAAAACATGATGTTGTCAGGCATCGAAGCAAATTTATGGCCATCACTTTCATTTGGCACTTTCGGAATTATCAAGTCAATTATTATGAGCTTACCATGTTTTATTAGAGATTTATGACAGTTCTTTGAAATCTGTATGCATTCTTCGTCACCCCAGTAATGAGTTGTATTCTGTGATCCAGAAGAAAGAAAACATATAGGAATATATATATATATATATATATATATATGTTTAAGATAATTTTAATGTTAAACTAACCTTGATCATTATAGCATGGCCTTGTGGGACACTTTTGAACATATCTCCTCCAACATGCGTCATTCCTATAATTATATATGTGAGAATTTGGCGTACCTGGAATGTAGATCAATATTTCCAGTATTCACACGCAATTCAATCACGTAGACGAAGTCAGATTTTTGTTATATAACAAGTACACTTGTGAAGAGAGAATGAGAGAATAGGAAGAGAGGAGAGTTGCAGAGGGAAAAAACTCCCAAGTCTGTGAAGTGTGTTTTACTCCCACGTATACGTCATGCTTTATTCAATCTTCCTCTTGAAAACTGAGTATAAATTTGTTCCCTTCAAAAGGCAAAAGGGTTTTTTAACAAGTAGTAACCCTTAATCTTTAGTTTATTACATTTTATACCCCAAACCTTATGGGCTTGTGCATCATCCACCAAGAGTGGATCAGGCTAAGTCCAACACCTTTTACTTACACTTGGTGAATTAGTCGTTATAGATCAGTCTCTCTCTTTCTGTTTTTTTTTTTACACACTAAGTACTTGTCGTAACCACATGGGCAAGACATCAATGTTTTTTATTTTAGGTGATCATACTAGAAATCTCACTTTATGAGACTAGCACGAGACAACTTTCTTTGTGTAGATTGTTTTCAATCATGCTCCATCTCTACCATTCAATCATGCCTCGGGTGTTCTAGAATTACTTATATATACTTTCTTACAGCTGATCTAATCTCTCTGAAGTCAGTATAAGACTCAGATTGCCTTCTTTGTATGCATATTATCCACACTTGTGAAATATATAGAAATCACAAGAGACATGTCTCAGACACTAGCATAGGTGTGTATATTTCAAGAAATCATTCCTTTGCCCATATATCATTTCAGTATACACCAGTTGCTTTCCTAGCATAATACATTAGATTACATCTACCATGATTATGGATTGTATGCTAAAGTAGCAGATACTGAAATATATTTTCATGATAATGTCAAAGTCAAAATACATCAGTGGAAGTATTGCACCTTCTAAGGACTCACACAGTAATGAAGCAGACATCTTTTCATTTGATTCCCATTTGTGGATTTGTTAAGCACATGAAGTATGAATCACATGCTACAGTGTTACTCTTATGCCATAAGAGCATATCTCAATTTGAAATTTGTTATGAACACTGTACAGGCTTAAGTCTAGATACTCCTACCATCCAAATTGAAAATTTTCATTTCACTTATCACATGTAACATTAATTTGTGAAGAATTTAATATTTAGTTACAGGAATCATGAATAACATGGGCATTTATGATTTGATCCACATTTATGTTCATTTATTGGATCTCATCTCGACCAGTTACATTGACTTTTTAGTCGAGGCGATTATAGTTTATGTTTCTTCTGTACCAAATCAGCATTTGTGATTATTTTACTGGTGAACACATAAGTCTCATCCTTGCACACTTTCCTTAAATGTCAAAAGCAATTGGTTGTGTGTGAGAGTCAACCTTGTCAACCTCTACACGATATACTAGACATTGTGTACTTTTATATAAACACATAATGATGATAAAATAATAATTTCTTTTAAAAAAATATAATCACATAAGTTTTGTAATTTTACAACCTTCACATGCCAAGTGCTTTTACATGATTTGCATACAATTCTCTCGATATTGGCTTGGTCAAGGGATTAGCAACCATACACTTTGTTAATATATATTATATAGTGATAACTTTTTGTGCTACATAATCTCTCCGAAAGTTGTATTTAATATCAATATGCTTTGTCTTGCCATGATACTCAGGGCCTTTTATGTAGGCTATGGCTACAGTATTATCACAATACACTAAAACTGAATTTGTACTTTTGTTTCCAAATACAAGGTGTTCTATAAACTGTTTCAGTCATATTGCCTCTTGAACTGCTGCAATACATGCCACGAACTAAGCTTCCATTAGATGTAGGGTAATGCACATCTGCTTCTTACTACTCCAACATATGGTGCCATTGTTCAGCAAGAAAGTGTAACCAGAAGTTGATCTTCGCTCATCACCATCTCCACCAAAATCAGCATCAGAGTGTCTAACTAGGCGTAGATTGCTTCCCTGGTAGCTGTTCGCCATTTAGCTTAACTGCAAGCGCAAGGGTCACAAGTGGTATAAAAGTTATCATTCCCTCAAAGACTAAGGCCAAACGAGTTAAAAATCATAATTATGCTCATGACTAGGTTAAGTAAAATTAATGTATAAATGAAGTTCTTTAATGTACTTTGAAAATAAAGATAAAAATTGAAACAAAATAAACTTGACTTTGAGACATATAAGGATCTATAATTATTTCTCACTATTGTACTTCATAAAACTTGATCAACAACTTCTCATTTAGTGTTTAATGATAAATTAAGTTAGCCCAATGTTCATAAATATTGATTAAGCTTTCTCAAGTTAAAACTAAGTTTTGTAATCTTACTAAAACTTCACAATCTCTTGTTTTTATTTAAAAAGATTACACTTTGAAAACCAAAACCCTTTTTGGACAATGCTAGGTCAATAGATATATCTCTATTCTATCAACAAACTATCCATAGCTAGTTAGGTTAAACATATAAAACTGGCTACATATAGGTATTTTCTTATTAGAAGCAATCTTATTTGACGCATAATCAATGCCTCTCATGAAATAGTTCAAAAGCAAAAGTGCTTTTTAAAACGTTATATCACAAAATCGTCCATTTGCATATTTGATATTTTAGCCATTGCCTTGTGGAAAATAGTTTTGAATGTTTGATCTATTTCCATATATTCAAACATAGACATCCCATGAATTTTCTTGAACACCTCCCCTTTCTCATCAAGAATCACTTGCTTGAAGTTCTGCCTAGCATCATTAATAAAAAGTCATTATTGTAAAATAAAGAGTATATATATACACACACTATGAAATTTTTAAATAAGTGAGATGGCCTGTTAATTTCAAGATCGAAACACAAGAGACTCCATCTTCTAATAACAAGTATATGAGAAGAGGAGATAGACCATAAAGTCTTTCAATCCTCCCATGTTGATCAAGTTTTATGGAAGAACAGGTTAACAAGGAGTGATTAGCAAGCAAAAACAGCATCCGATCAAGGTGATGATCGGCACCGGTGTATTTATTTGGAAGCTTGGAAGCGATTTCAAAGGGTGACATGCCCTTTGATGAACTTCCATTATTACCAGTGATCTCAAATAGGTTGAGCTCAATGGCAGCTTTTAATACTGCAAGGTAGATGTGACCACATGGTAGCATCATAGCATTTAAATAAGAATCAATATCATATTCATGATTCTCCATGGTGGTGCTCATAATTGATTATTGCTAGCTTAACTATCACTCAATTAATGGTGGGAGAGGAAAAATTTGAACCTAAAGAGTTTTTCACCCAACGCCTTGTTCTAGTTGTGGGGGCATTTATGGTGTACTTTGATCGTTAGGAACTTCCCAAATGAGTTATTTTAATTGAAGCTACACACACACACATATGTATATATTAAATAAAACATGAAGAGAAAATATGGGAATTCTCGTGAGAGTTATTAAAAGAAGCACAAGTATTTTTGTACCCAAAAAATGGTATAATTATTTTACGGCGCACATGAATTGAGTAATCGATAAAAACATCAATCAACAAGTTGTCAAATTTACGAAAAGTCATACTAGAACTTATGAATAGCTTATTATATATAAAATTGCACCCAAAAAAATAATATCATAGGTAAAATTGTACTATTAAAAAAAAATAGGATGCTGGGCATACCTAAAAAATAAGACCAGAGGTAAATTTGCATCATTACCTCTATATATATATATATATATATATATAGCATGTAAGGTACATGTCCAAATGTCTTAAATTTTTCATCGAAGAGATTGCAGAAAAATAAATATGTCATAAAGGTGAAAAAGTCTAACCTTTTTTGTTTTTAATTTCACTCCCAATTAAAAAGCTCCCTGTTGTCATTGGGTTTTTCCAATTGTCATCCCCGCGCATTTTTTAATTAAAATATATAGCATTATTACTAGGTACTCAAATAATTCGATAAATCTGAACTAATCGCCAATTAACATTACCGTCATAAGTTATATACGTATTTTAACATTATTACAACATGTGTTTATATTCTTAACAAATTATATAGGTATTTCAGTTTAAAAAAAAGTTTGATGGTCACATAGCTAGCTAAACATATACAAGTTGCTACGCATATATATCTTTCTATTGAAGGCAATTTTATTTAAAACATAACCAATGCCTCTCACAAAATAGTTCAAAAATGCTTTTTGAAACGCTATATCATGACTTATTTTACAATTTTTTATATTTTATGTTATGAAAATATTTTCTTTAGCTAACTTGACATAAAAGTTCATCTTTATAATTGAAAGGCTCCACATTTTTTTTTGGCCTTTAATATACTTCATATATTGTGGAAATAAACATCCAGATAAGAAACACGAAGGAAGTTAAACAATATTATTTCTGTACACATCTAAAGTATATATTTGTATTATAGCCATTCGGTTATTGCCTCTAGAATAATCTGTATAGGACAGGTGTTGCAATGCAATTGCACCCCTTGGTTTATAAATAGAAAAGGATAGGCTCGGACAATATTCAATTGAGAGCCTTGGTTAATTCATTCATCTTGACTTGGTACTAGAGCAGGAAAAACCGTCAGCAATGGCATCACATTTTGAAAATACCACCAACCCCACCCTAGCCGCCGCCTCTAAAAACCCTAACCTCCAAAATATCCCAAGCCAAACGACCCCACATGTCTCCTCTACAGTGATGCCTTCCATCTCCGTTACTCCTTCGTTAGCCTCACCGTCCATCTCCGTTTCATCCTCACTTTCTTTTCCCTATTTCACCTTCGCACCAACAAATCCTAACCTTCTTGCTTACCCGTCATCTTCGACTCTCATTCCTCACACTTTCCCGAACTCATCTCCTCAAATCCCAGAGATTCCAACCCAGCCACCCTCAATCTCTGTTACACCGTCAGTTTTGACCCCAAACCTCACCAGCTTCACTCCATCGAACTTCTACCCAAACCAATATCTCTCTGCTCCTTTTCAGTATCCGTACCCGTCGCCAAACATCCAAGCACGACCGATTCCTCTACTGAGCTCTTTGAATCAGGCCAGCTCCGTCAAGCTGGATGGAGACAACTTTATCACATGGGAATCCATGATATTGCCAATAGTTCGAGGTCACAGACTCAACGGTTTTCTCTACGGCACTACGGCCATACCATCGGAGTATATTCTAGATGCTACAGAACAAGTCCACCCTAACCCAGCCTTTGAAGATTGGCAAGCAATAGATCAAATATTGCTGGGATGGCTTCTGAGCACAATGACAGTAGAGATCGCCTCCCAAATGACCCATTGCAAATCGGCAGCATAGCTTTGGACAGCAATCAATGAATTTGTTGGGGCAAATACCAGGTCCCAAGTGACTTTCCTTAAATGAGAGTTTTAGCGTATGAAAAAGGGATCGTTAAAGATGAAAGAATATCTGGCGAAGATGAAATCCATCTCCGATAATCTAACACTAGCTGGAGCAGCTATTCCAATTTAGGATCTGGTCACCCAAACACTAGCTGGCTTAGATGCTGAATACACCCCCATTGTGGTGTTGCTATCAGAAAAGGAGAATATGACATGGACTGAACTTCAGTCAAAGCTGCTAACATATGAGGCAAGGGTGGAGCACTTCCAATCATCATCTGGCACCAGCCTCTCAAATGCCTTTGCCAATCTCTCTATTCAGACAAACTATCAGCATGACAGGGGAGGACGCAACAACAATTGGCGAAGCAGGGGAGGAAGAAGAGGACATGGACAAGTAAACATAGGAGGCTCACGTTACAATAACAACAAATCTAGGAAGCCATACTGCCATCTCTATGAAAAACCAGGCCATGAGGTTGCAAACTGTTTCCATCGATATGACAGGAACTATAAAGGTCCTAACAAGAGTGAAAATGCCTCTGCCTATATTGCCACTCCTGAAGTGACCCAGCATGGTACCTGGATATAGGAGCCACCCATCACGTAACTCATGATCCGGAAAATGTGAGCTCCAATAGAAACAATACAGGTATAGACTCTCTTATGGTTAGTGATGGTACTTCTTTAAAGGTTCTGAAAACTGGATCATCTAAACTATTGTGTGAAAACTCTGACAAGCATCTTCAGATGAATAATGTACTGGTTGTGCCTAAAATCGCTAAGAACCTGATCAGTGGATATAAATTGACCAATGATAACTCTGATATTTTTGTTGAGATACACTCACACAATTGCTTTGTGAAGGACAAGAAGCAACATAAGACATTATTGCAAGGAGCTACTACATAAGGGATAAATGAAGGATTGTATCGCATCAACAGCAAAGTGGTTCCTGCTAAAGAATTTGCCAAAGTTTATTTTGTGTCTGCTAGTGGCAAAAAGAGTCAGTCAATATTGTTAAGCCCTATTATAGAGTCATGGCATAGATGCCTCAGTCATTCTAGTAGTAGAGTCCTGAAAGAAGTTTTAAAGATTTGTAATGTTCCTATGAGTTCTAATGAAGAGTTTAAATTCTGTGAATCTTGCCAACTTGGAAAATCACATCGGTTGCCCTTTCCTGACTCTCAATCTCATGCTTCACATCATCTGGACTTAATTCATACTGACCTATGGGGACCCTCACCAATTAAATCCGCTGCTGGTTATAAATTTTATATAAGTTTCTTAGATGATTACAGCAGATTCCTTTGGGTCTATCCCTTGAAGGCTAAATCAGATGCCTTATCAGCATTTAAACACTTCAAGAACATGGCAGAAACTTAGCTAGACCGAAAAATCAAAGTCCTTCAAAGTGATTGGGGTGGTGAATTTAGATCTTTTCACACTGTTTTGGATGATTCTGGCATTATATTTCGTCATTCATGCCCTCATACATCTGAACAAAATGGACGAGTTGAAAGAAAACACAGACACTTAGTTGAAATGGGGCTCACACTACTTGCTCAAGCTAAAATGCCACTGTATTACTAGTGGGAAGCCTTCTCTACTGCTGTACATCTCATTAATAGATTGCCTACTCCTATCTTACAGAATAAATCCCCATTTGAAGTTCTACATCAAAGGCTGCCAAGCTATGCATCATTCAAGACATTTGGATGTGCATGCTATCCATGCCTACGTCCATATAATCAAAATAAGTTCAGATTCCACAGTACAAAATGTGTTTTCATTGGCTATAGTGGATCACATAAGGGATACAAATGTCTCAGCTCCACTGGTAGAGTATATATCTCTAGACATGTGATGTTTGATGAAAATGAGTTTCCATTTGAGAAAGGTTTCATTAATCTGAAGCAACCTCAACAAGATGAACTGATGAACTGTCCAACACCTACCTCTGTTGAATTACTTGAAGTGCATAATATAAATGACTATCAAAGACATTCTTCTCTGTAAAACACACAACAGAAGAGCAACATAGAATGTGAACCACCTTCTCAGCCATATGCCCCTGTCTTGTACACTTCAAGAGATGCAAATCAGAATGATATAGCAGCAAGCACATCAAGAAGCTTGAATTTAGACAGCTCTACATCCTCTGAAAGTAGCTCAGAACTAAATGCAGCAAGTCATTCACATGCATCAGATACTCAATCTATATCTGAACAGCAAGAGCAAGCCACCCAAACTACTCAAAATGCTTTGTCACTACCAATTAATACGCATACAATGTAGACAAGGAGTAAAAGTGGGATCTATAAGCCAAAACTGCCATATATTGGGCTGACACAGATTCAAGAAAGTACTCCCAGTTCAGTCAAGGAGGCGCTGAAATCACCCTATTGGAAACAAGCTATGATTGATGAGTTCTCTGCACTTCAAAAGGACGAGATGTGGACTCTGGTTCCTAGAGATCACAAGCAAAATGTAGTTGAGAACAAGTGGCTATTCAAATTAAAGTCTCATGCAGATGGATCATTATCCAAAAGAAAGGCAAGACTTGTGGCAAAGGGGTTCCAACAAACTGAAGGTATTGATTTCTATGACACCTTCAGTCCAGTTATTAAAACTTCCACTATTCGAATAGTTCTTGCAATTGCTATTTATTTTCATTGGGATATCAAACAACTAGATATCAATAATGCTTTCCTAAATGGATATTTGTCTGAGCCTGTATATATGGAACAACCAGAAGGATTCATAGATCCATCCAGACCAACACATGTGTGTAAACTGTCTAAAGCATTATATGGCTTGAAACAAGCCCCGCGGGCTTG